CCCCCCCCCCCCCCCCCCCCACAAAGCCTGCGGCTTGTTCAGCACCCCAGCCTTCCACCTGAGCCCAACATTCCTCAGCCTGGAGCCCCCTCCCCAAGCCAGCATTCCTTTCTCCGCCTGCACCCAAATGCCCTCCCAGAACTTGCACTTCCCACACCCAAATCCCTTATTTCCACCCCAGAGCCTGCACCTCCTGTCTCAACCCAGTGAGAGGAGGGGGATGGGGAGCGCGGGGCCTCAAGGAAGGGGTGGGGTAGATTTCGGCTTGCCCTGACATTTAAAAAGTGATCTTGGGTGTAAAAAGGTTGGAGACCTTACTGGCATGCTTACTGGGATAACTGATTAACTGGCGCCCAGGCCCAACCAGAGCAGCCTGGCCGGGCCATGGGTGGTTAACCTATAGTTTAACCAGTTAACATATTACAGCTGGTCCCCGAGTTGCGAACGGTCAACTTACGACTGTTCGCAGTTACGACCAAAGCTGTCATAAATGGCGGACCCCGAGTTACGAACGCGATCCGCACTTGCGAACATTGTGGTCGTGTGTAACTCAATGGGGTCCGACTTACGAACGAACCGAGTTACGACCAATTGCTTGGTCCGTAACCGGTTCGTAAGTCGGGAAGAGACTGTACATGGGATTTTACATCCCTAATTCTTAAGTTTATTCAGATCTAGCCTCTTTCTGTTGGGGAATTACCCATAAGCAGTTTCGTTTCAATAAAGTTACTCAGTATTTGACATATGCCTGATACTTGTTGAAATCTTGTTACGTAAATTAATGAGTCATTAATTGTTCAATTAAATATTTAGAATTAAACTTGTATTTTTAATATTAGTGTGATTTAGTGCTTGATGCTGCTCATCGAAAAAATGCAGAATCCAGTTTGGGGCCAAAATGGGAAGATATATTAGAGAGTATCTTGTTCAAGTCTTCAGATTTTGTTATGGTGCAGTTTAAAGATATGGATACCAATTATGCAAGAAGAGGTAAGTTTCTGTGTTTTAAATGGCTTTTTAAAATTGGGTTTAGCTTTATATCATAAAGGTAATCATTTTAATTCTTGATGCTTTGGGTTAGGCTCTGAAAACCACATGTAAGCACCTGAATAAGACACTTCAGAAAAGCGGAGCATCTTTAGATCTTATTGACGTCAGTAGGAGGTGCAGGTGCTCTGCATCTTTTTTAAATCAGTCCACTTTTTTTTTAGATGCTTAAATAAATAAATATATCTATTGAACCCTAACTTTACACACTGAGATTTAAAAATTTGGCTTAACATTGCCAGTAATTTTTATGCTGTCTGAAAAGTTAACTTCCGAAAGTGTTAACAAATGTTATGCTACAGGTTCTCTAGAAAATGAGGGAATTTACTCACGGAAACTGCTTAATTTTCTTACAAATGTGGATGGTTTGTTTGTATTTGCTTTAGTAGGCACTTGAATGTTACATGAGAATTCATGAATACTTCACATTTTACGTAATGCATTTTAAAGTCTTCTTAGTCAGAAGTTAGGATTTGTCTCTGAACATGGTTGCTTAAAAAGAAGTCTCTCTTCAAAATCCTAAAAACTGCTGCAAACAAGTGGAGAGTAAAAAGCTCAAATTGAGTGTTTTTTTCCCTTAGGAAGAACCAGGGATGTGAACAAGTAGTCGACTACTCAATAAGCAGGAGCTTATCGGGTAGCACTATCAACTACTTGCTCCCCCCCACGTTGCTGCTCTGCACTCTTAAAGGGACAGAGAGGAGTCGGCACACACAGATGCTGACTCAATGTCTGGTCTCCCGCTGGGTCTCAGGACAACCCTCCCCCGCGCTGCCACTCTGCATTCTGAAAGGGACAGAGGCAGCAGCCCATCTCCCCTCCCCCAATTCCCATTCTTCCTTTTTTTAAAGGGACAGAGT